CCTGGAATCGTAGTATGGCAATGTTAAATGCATTCTATGCAATTCCAGCTTTTCTATCACTAGGTGCTGAAGCAAGCTCCAGCATGTGGTCATACCCTGCCATAGGAATGCTTGGGAAAGTGATGGAGGGACTTGGCCTCTGCCTCATTTCTAGTTTCTACTGCAGTGGCTCTCAACCCTTTGGGGAATCACCTAAGACCATGGAAATCACATATTTCCGATGGTTTTAGGAACTGAGACACTGTTCCTCTATCAACTTCCAGGTGAGTTCACCCACATATAAACTCCCACATGAGTATCCAGAACTGTTTTAAAGGGTCACAGCATTTAGACAGTTGAGCACGAGTGCTCTAGTGTGTGAAGAGAGTGAAAATCCTGGGTTTTGTGGCTCAGGAGTGGACATGGAATGGTGAGAACCAATTCCTGGAGAAATAACATCATTTTCCAACTATAAGAAGAAAAGGACAAAGGAGGATGCAGGATTGTGAAGTCCTAGAGGAAACCCTAGCCTAGGACCTCAGATCAGGAGGCATGAGAGAAAGCATTTCCTTTAAGTTTGGCAGGGTGGTAAATGCCTATAACTCCAGATCTTAGACAGGATAATCTGGAGCCAGAAACTAGTCTTAGTAGTAAAGCCCTGTAACTGGTTAGACTGAAAAATGGTCCATCACCACACCCCAGGAACTCATAGCCATCGCCCAGCACCCAAGAATGCACTTTTAAGTGGTACTATTTACAGTTACTTTGTGGAAATGAACTTTATTCATGATGTTTTTAAATTCATCCCTGAAGATATATGGAATTAAAAATGAATGTGCTAAAAACTAATTACCCAGTCTGTTTACATAATTTGCATTATTGATATTTTTTTCTCTTCTTAGAGTTATGCTTTTAAAAAGAAAAAAGAAGCAACAACAATTCTATCCTTATGTTTCTAGCTCTTGTGCAGGACTTTCTCCAGGGCAGTTTGTTGCTCAGTCACATAAACCTGCTCCAGTAGCTTGCTATATTCCCATTCCATTGTGGTTATATACTCATAGTGAATAGTGTTGTTCTTTTGCTGCAGCTAATGCCTAAGAAACACAAACACGAGACTCAGCGCCCACGTGGAGTTTATTGAGGGGAGAGAAAGAGAGGGTAGCTGGTGGCCAACCGAAAGCAGGGAGAGAGAGAGAGCAAAGAGAGAGCAAAGAAGCAGAGAGAGGCAGAGAGAGAGAAGCACTTGGCGCGCTTGCTTTAAAAGAGGCTTGCGCATGCGTAACTGAGTCCTCTGGCTGTCAGGTAAAGCTGACATAGGGATGACATGGCCATGAGCATCCCGCCCATCGTTGGGGCGGGGGTCAGCTGGCTGCTAATTCCTAACAAATAGGTTTTGGGGTAATGGTAAAACCTACTTACTCAGGAGATAAGAACTTTCGGGAGTTCAAGGCTAGCTACACTAGCTTGGGTTGTATAGTGAGATTCTGCATCAAAACAATGAGAAACACTCAAATTAATAGTATTAGAGATGAAAGGGGGAACATTACATCAGATAGTAACAAAATCAGTGTATCATTAAGTAGTATGTTAATTTTAAAAACTCATACTCTTCTTTTAAAATTTTATATATTTATTTACTTTTATTGTATGGCAGTTTTGCCTGCATATCTGTCTGTCTGTTTGCCATGTGTGTGCATGGTCCCTCTGGAAGGGAGAAGAGGGTGTCAGATCCTGTGAAACGGGTAACAGGTGACTGTAAATGATTGTGTAGGTCCTAGTAATTGAACATGGGTTGTCAGCAAGAGCAGCCAGGCTCATACCACTGAGCCATCCCTCCAGCCCCCCTAACCCATGTTCTAATAAATTTGGAAATCTAGAAGAAAGTATAAATTCTAGGCATATATGACCTACCAGAAGACACATATGGCTGAACCAGAACACTAACATTAACAGACCTGAGGTGGGCATTGGCATTGAAGCAGTAATATTTAAAGACAAACATAGGAACACACAGACTTACTGTTGAATCGTATGTCTAAAAATGAACTAACATCAGTGCTTCTCAAATTATTCTATAAAATAGAAAAGGAACCAATACTATCAACTCCATTTTATGAAACTGGCATTATCCTGATACCAAACTGGATAAAACACAACAAAAGGGACAGAAGATACAGAAATAAACCTGCTTATAGCCACTTGGTTTTCAACAATGGTGCCAAAAAAAAAAATACATCGTAAAACCAAATGTTCAGCAATTGGTGTAGAAAATAACACATCATTGCTATTACCTGGTTAAAAAAAATCAAATCAAAATAGATCAAGGATTTAATGTAACACAAAATTCTGAAACTGCTAGAAGAAAACACTCGGGAAAACCCTTCCAGATATGTGAATAAGCCAAATATCTAGAAGGCCTATAAACCCGAAAGCCTCAGATGCTGGCATGCACAGGAGTCCTCTGGATATCTCAACAAGATTCAGGAAGTCTGGAGCAGAGCTGAAATTCTGGATTTGTAACAGGCTTGGGACAGAGGCTGCTGGTCTTCAGATCACATAGAAAGGCTGATATAGACTGAAAGGATGGAAAAATACAGCCTAATTCTCCAATGACCACAGGAAGCTAAAAGTTTAGAAATACTATCCAAAAAGCCCTAAAAACCTTAAATTCCAGACCCTGTCCTCTGCCAGTAAATAGGCAAGGTCACACTCCTTGCTGTTTATGGCATTCAGGCCATTGAATACATAATCTTGGCCAAGTAAGATAACAAAATTAGCTAACTAATCGCTTGTCTGACTTTGTAAACTGCTTGTGAAACTCCCGCCCCAGTGACCTATGTGTGGGCTTTGTTGTAAACCCTATAAAAACTGTCTCAATTCTGCCCTTGAAGTCCTCAGTCTGATGACTGTGGACCCCAGTGCACTTGGAATAAAAATTCCTCATGCTATTTGCATCGAGACTGCTTCTCGTGAGTGATTTGGGGTGTTGCTCTCTTGTGTGAGAGTGTGAAGGTCCACACTCTGTGGGTCTTTCATAGACAAGGACCTACTAGGCAATGTATCTATTATGTCTTGTTACATTAATGATTTCTGGAGGTAGATGTGGTAGTCTAAACTTATAATCCCCACACTCCAGAAGCTGAAACAGAAAGATTGCTGGGATTTCAAGGCCAGGATGGGTTTCTGTACTACTTACTTTTCTCACTGTTATGACAAAAGTCTGACAGAAGCAACTTAAGACTTTATTTTGGTTTGTAACTTAAGGAAATACAGGCATAGAAGCATGATAGAGCTCATGGCATTAGGGATATGTGGCTGGACTTCTCATCTCCATTGATCTGAGTCAGGTGAAATACTGGCTCTCATCTGGCTTTCTTGTTTTCCTGCTTATTCAGTCTAGGATCCCTGGCCATGGATGGTACCAACCAAATTCAGGATGGGTTTTCCATCTTCAGTGCATCCTGTCTGGAGACCCCTCCAGTACATTCCATATGCATTTCCTATGAGATTCTAAATCCAGTAAAGTTGACGATGAAGGTTAACCATTACAGCTACACAGAGAGTTCAAAGCCTGCTTGGGATACAGTGTGAGACCCTGTGTCAAAAAAAAAAAAAAAAAAAAAAAAAAAAAAAAGCGAGAAGTGAGTTTTGGGCTCCATGATTCACAATCTAAATTATGGGTCTGGGAAGAGGCCTGGGCATTTTGGAACAATATTTGTGGTTATTGATGTCAGAAGTGAGAGCAGCACACATGGAGAAGGTTCTTAGATGGGCATTATCAGAATTTTTAAGAAAAATGGAGGTGTGACATGCCATCAATCCTGAGTTCTTTTTGTTTGTTTGGTTTTCGAGACAGGGTTTCTCTGTGAAACAGCCCTGGCTGTCCTGGAACTCATTTTGTAGAGTTCACGCTGGCCTCAAACTCACAGAGATCCACCTGCCCCTGCCTCCCAAGTGCTGGGATTAAAGGTGTGCACCACTACCACCCAGCCCAACCCTGAGTTCTTAGGCTGACAGACTGTTTTCTCTCCCAGGGGGTATAGCTTCAGGTGGAAGATTTAGGAGGCAATTTACACAACAGAAGTCTTTGGATGGTTGTTATCTGAAAAGTCTCTGAACTGGTTTCTTACTTCTAGGCAGACATAATGGAATCCATATTTTAACTTAAACTTAGACATTTTATATGATATTGGGGCTTACTTGGTTTGGGGAAAAGCCAAAGAACCAAGCTTGAGACATCATTCTAGAAACAGAAAACATAGTCTTGTCAACACCAGGTTTTACACAAGATCCACAGGGCATAAGTGCCACTGATCACATCACTGATACCCCAATGCTGGTCACTGTATCTTAGGAAGCTTTCCCTGCTGCTCCTGGAAACTGTATGTGACAATGTCATCCTTTCCAAAATGTGTTCTCTGCGTCTCCAGTTTTTCCTTATCACCTTTTGCTGAATTAAGGTTCAGCATGTGGCCCTTCAGCTTGTGGACCTGTGTTAATCCCAACTGGGAATGCTTGGGAAAGTGATGAGGATTTTGGCATTGCCTCCTTGCTAGACTCCCATTGGGGTATTCCCTGGTGCAGAGTCAAGTGCTGGGAATTGTGGCCAAAGGGTGAAAACAGAATGAGGAAAGTCAACTCCTGGAGAACTATCTGCATATAATAAATTATAATTTTCCATCTATGTGAAGAAAAATGGCTAAGGGTATTATGAGGTCCTAGGAAACCTCTGATGACTAAACTTCAGACAAGTTTCTAAGTCTGGCTACAGATGTACAGCAGGATCAGGAAACAAGAAGAGATGTGTGGCAGGAAGAGGAATAAATGACCTTATGAAACTGTCTCTTTAGCTGGCACCTCCAGAATCATCAATATGAAATTTCTGTCCTTCTCACAAGTGCTTTACATAAAGCTAGTGTCAATACATACAGGCCCAGATGGGCAAGCATGCATGCACATGTGTGACTTATAGTAATAAAATATGAAATAGGCACATTTTAGCTAGGGATTGAGATTTCCCAGCAAGACAAAAACCATCAGAAAACAACCCTTTCCCTACCTCTGTTCGTCTTCTTCCTCATCACAATGGCAGCCACGGCTCCAGTGACCACAACTCCAAGGAGAATCAGACCAGCCTATTCTCCTCCTTACCCCATTTCACAGAGAGAGGCTTGGGCAGTCCAACGTGGACCACATGGCAAGTGTATCTCTGCTCCTCCCCAGAAGGCACCACCATGGCTGCCCACTTCTGGAAGGTTCCATCCCCTGCAGGTCTGGTGTCCACTAGCTCCATGTCCTGGGTCTGGTCCTCTCCATCTTTCTGCCAGGTCAGGGTGATCTCGGAAGGATAGAAGCCCAGAGCCCAGCACCTCAGGGTGGCATCCCCTTCAGGTCTGGGGTGATGGGTCACATGTGCCTTTGGGGGCTCTGAGGGGGAAGAATTGAGAATTGGAAAGACATGCCTTTTGTATTCTTACTAAGATAGATAATGCAGCTCCATTCTGGCAATCCACAGGAGAGCTGGGGTGGGCTACTGTACAAACTGGTACAGTAGCCCAGACTCAGGCATCTGGAAATTTAATCCTTGGCAAATTCTAGAATGAGCTTGCACCAGCCCAGCAGACTCAGGGTCTTCCACTGGCAAAAAGAAGAAAGAAGAAGAAGAGGAAGAAGAAAAAGAAGAAGAAGAAGGAGGAGGAGGAGGAGGAGAAGAAAAAGAGGAAGAAGAAGAAGAAGAAGAAGAAGAAGAAGAAGAAGAAGAAGAAGAAGAAGAAGAAGAAAAAGAAGGAAAAAAAAAAAAAAAGGATTGGGATCCTGACTAGGGGAGGGCTGAGAGATTCAGCATTGTCAGAGTCAGATTCCAAAGACACTGGAAACCCAGAAGCACTTCCCCTTCCCAATGACAATGTGAGACAATATTTCAGTTGATCTCATCTTCCTCCTTCCTCGGGAAATTTGAGCCCAAGCCCAAGGGCAGTGACCCATCATCCATTTTGGCCCCATTGTACCTGAGTGCAAAAGTATCTCCTTTCCTGCCTCCAGGTAGCTGAGGAGATTCTCCACACACTCCACTTCAAGGAAAGCCCCGAAGAACTGGGCCTGAACAGGATTCTTCCACTTTTGGTGGGTGATCTGAGGAGCTGAGTCAGTCACCTTCCACGTTTTCAGGTCCTCATTCAGGGAGATGTAATCCTGGCCATCATAGGCATGCTGGCTGTACCCTCGGAGGAAGCGCCGGTCCGGCCCGATGACGCAGCCAGTCAAGCACTGCATAGTGTGAGAGACTGGCCCCGCCCCTCAGTTAGCTCTGTCCATCTTGTCCCGACCCACAGGATGAGATTTAGACATAAACTGAACCACAGAAACCTAGCCAAGGTCCTCAACTGTGAGGTCCAGCAATCTCAAGGCTAATTCTAGGTCCCAGGGACTCGAAAAACTAGACTTCAGACTCAGGGTCACTCACCGTCCTGGCTCTCGTTGTATTCATGAATCGCACCATGGAGGAGAGCCCGGGCATTCAGTTTGTCGTTCTTGACTCTCTGTATCTCTTGCTCCCAAAGCTTTGGAGGTATCTGCTTTACCCAGGGTGCCCGTGGCTCCAACGTCTGACTCAGCACATCGCTGTCGAAGTGCACGAACTGCGTGTCGTCCACATAGCCAACGAAGATGTACCGGTACCGCTCCTGCTCCCGGAGCCCAGGCCGGGACACGGTAGTTTCAAAATAGCTTAGCGAGTGTGAGCCTGAGGACAGCATTCACCATAAGCACTCAACTCTCCTCTCTTCTTCAGGAATCCAAGCAGAGAGGGGAGCAAGGCATGGGGATGGAGACCCTAGAGGCAGAGGATGCCCAGCCACAGAAGCAGGAAATATTTCCCTAGTGCTCCACCTCCTCTGCCTACTCCAGGCTTCTTCACACTCCTCCCAGCGGAGGTAATTTCTTTCCCGACCCTGTACTCACGGGTTTGGGTCAGAGTTGGAGCCAGGGCAACCAGAAGCAGCAGGAGGAACTCTCCAGGAGCTGGGGTTCCCATTCTTGTTGTTTCAAAGGCCTGGAGAAATTTGGTCCTTGTTCCTCTCTGTGGATTTTATAGCACCTTGCATATGTGGGAAGAGACCGCGGTGACTGATTGGCTTTCTCCAGAATTTGGGCATACAGTGGGAGAAAGAATACTTTTTTAAGGCAGAAGAAAGAACCTGGCCGCTGGCATAGGAAGTGAGCTTGAGAAATGAAGTCCAGGGCTGATGGAAATCCCCAACCTTTGGCTTCCCCACTCTGAAAGACAAAACCTGAGACCAGGACTTAACCACCCCCCCCCCCCCTTCCTTCTGCACCTACTGCTCTTTGTCACAGTGTCTGCTTAGGGCCCATCTAGGAGCTGTGCCAGTCAGAAATTCTCAGTGCTTTAGTTCAGGATCTCTATAGAGCTTTACAAAATAGATCCTCAGCGAGCTTTTATGTAGGTTACATCGATCAGCATTTACCACAGTAAAAAAGTAAAATATAGGCTGTGTGAAGATTTGAATAAGAATGGCCCTCATAGGCTTATATATTTGAATGCTTAATCATCAAGTGGCACTACTTGAGAAAGATTAGAAGGTACAGACTTGCTGGAGTAGATGGGGCCTTGTTGAATATGTGTGTCACTGGTGGTGAGCTTTAGGGTTTCAAAAGACCAAGCCAGGCCTAATAGCTAATGGCTCTCTCTTCTGTTGCCTGTGTATCCAGATGTAGAATTCTCAGCTACCTCTCTACCACCATGTCTGCCCACATGCAGCCATTCTTCCTGTCATGATGATAATGGACTAAATCTCTGAAACTGTAAGCCAGCCCCAATTAAATGTTTTCCTTTATATGTGTTGTCATGGTCATGGTGTCTCTTCATGGCAACAGGACACAGACTAAGACAGTCTGGGTATGGTGGTCCAGGACTGTAACCCAACACTTGGAAGTTGGAGACAAGAAGCTTGCCACAGTTCCAAACCAACCTGTAATACACCCTGTCTCTAAAAAACCAAAAATAGGATCAGAGAGGGCTCAGCAGTTAAAGGCAGTTGTTGCCAAAGAAGAATAATATCTGAGTTGGATCCCGCATAGTAGAAGTAGAGAACTTATTCCTGCAAAGTTGTCCTCTGACATCTCATGTGCAGGGAATCATGAAGTTGGCCAGGCCTCGCTGCCTTGAGAAGCATTCATCATAGGTTTTCCAGGTTAGAATCTATGGCCCTGAGGCACTATGTATCTTTCAGTTCCTCAGGCAGTGAAGATCCAAGCCATTTTGTATTTCTCCAAATTTCTAAAACTCAAAACAAAAAACTAAAGTAATTTTTACTTTTTAAGATTTTTTTCATTGTGTGTAAACATTCTATATAATGTGTTACCTACCTAAGGACATTTCCATTTAAGCATATAGAGTAGGTTGAACACATCCCCCACTACCTTCCCCTTTTCCTTTTTCTTATTCTCCTTTGTTCCATTTTATTTTCATGCCATATATCATTATGATTTTATCTACTTATATAAAACATTGAAATTACAAAGATAGAAGAGATGATAATTTGTCTTTCTGAGACTGGCTTAATTCATTTGATATGATTGTCTTCATTTGATTATTTTCTTGCAAGCTACATAACTTAGTTATTCCCTATGGCTGAAAAGCCCCCTTTGTGAGTGTATTTATATATCATATTTTCTATATACATTCTGATTTGGACATATGTCTTGGTTTCATAGCTTAGCTTCTGTGAATAATGCTGTAATAAATATTAGTATGGAAGTATTACTGTGATATATTGACTTGGAGCCTTTCAGATAAATATCCAGGAGTGGTAACTGGGTTATATGGTATATGCATCTTTAGTTTAATTTATTTCTGTTTCTTCTTTTGAGACAAAGTCTCTTGTAGCCAGGCTGGCTGAAACTTAGGATCACCTTGAGCTTCTGTTGCTACCACCCCTAAGTGCTGAGATGATAGCTAATTGAACCACAATGTTTTACGCTGTGCTTGAAATAGATCTCCTAGTTTTCTGCATGCTGGGCAAGACTATTCCAAACAAATTACATCCTCAGCCTAGTTTACAGAACTATATATGCTGTCTTTAGTCACACCTTAGCCAGTATCTGTTATGTTTTAGTGTGTTTGTGTGTGTGTGTGTGTGTGAGAGAGAGAGAGAGAGAGAGAGAGAGAGAGAGAGACAGACAGACAGACAGACAGACAGACAGACAGACAGACAGAGAAGTCCAGCACCTTGGGTGTCAGTCTTCATCTTATACCTTGTTATAGATAGGGTCTCTTTTCGTTGTTCTTAGATGCATAGGCTAGCTGGGCATTCAACTTTCAGGCAATTTTCCTCCCTCCACCTCTCCTCTTTCTGTAGGAGATTGTGGGTGCTTCAGATCCTAGAGTCTAGAGTGTCCAGTTTTACTTGCATTCTAGGTTGAACTCAGGCCTCACCCTTACACAAGTATTTTACCAACTGTCCCATATCTAGGCCCTGTTTCTTTATTTTATAAATGGATATCACTCTGATTAGGATGGGATGGAATTTTAATGTAGGTTTAATTTGTATCTCTCTAATAACTAGTGAGATTGTACATTTTCATATATTTAATGGTTTATATTTTATAGTTGAAGAACTATTTCTTGAATTAGCCTATTTGTTGATTATTTTATTTTATTTAGTTTTGGTATATTTGAAATATTATTCCTCTGTTAAATGTACAGCTTGGGAGACTTTCTCCCTTTCTAAGGCCATGTCAGAGGAGCAGCAGGTGGCAATTGAGCTTCAGGGATTCAGCCCACCAGGAAGCATGGCACTGATGGGCGAATCCCGGATAGGCAAGACCCCCAGGGCTTCGACTCCAGAGTGTCTCTTGTTACTGCTGACCCTTTACATGTTTGCCACTGCCATTTTTCTCTGTTATCTGTCATGGTGTAAATGGGTGTGGAGGAATTCCCATTTCCTTTAATGTAGTGTGATTATCTCATGGAAACATCCCCTACTGCTGGACATTATTATGGATTAATATGGATTATTATGAAGAGGATTTCTTCTTAAGCTATACTGTTTGATTGAAGTAATGATTTTATATAGCAATAGTGTTAGTTTAAATTTTGATGATTAGGGGTTTTAAACAAATGTAGTAAAGAATTATGATAGAGTTTAGCTTAGTGGGAAAATTAAAATAGGTAAAGGTGGGATAGTGTTGCCCCTGCCCTTGATAAAGCAGGGGCTGTAGAGGACAAAAAATAGGAACAAAGAAGCGCCACTCAGCTAGGACTTAGGAGTTTCCCTTGAGAAGCTATATAGACTATAATTTAGATTAATGATTAAGGAAAACAACTGAGTCCCAGGAGCCAGGGTAATTCAAGTGTGGGTTTCTCAGAAAATTTGTAAAGATGTGGTTGAGAAATGTATCCGGGTAGACTTGTAACAGAAATACGTTTTTGTACAGTGACCACATAGTAACTGTGTAACTTTTGGTTATGGAAAAGTTCTCATTGTAATGAACTTGGTGTGGGGAAATATAAAAAGGGTGTTTGAAAAATAAAGAAGATGATAGAAGATAGAGAGACCCTGAAGGTAGTTAGGTGTGTGTGTGTGTGTGTGTGTGTGTGTGTGTGTGTGTGTGTGTGTGTTTCCCTTTTTGGCCAGCCCCAGAGAATTAAGTTTTGTCCCAGAAAACTAAGTTTTACTCCCTCAGATAGAAAAGTCAATTGTGTGATTAGTCTGCCAACTCCATGGCTCCCCCTCAATTCCTGAGTTGCTGAGGGCTGGCCCCTATAGCAGCAGTTACATGAGGTCCAATTTCTCAATCTTAGGCAGTATTTCCTAGGCAACTGAAATTCTGTTCAGACAGCTCTGAGTCAGACATGGTGGTGCACACCTTTAATCCCAGACCTAGGGAAGTGGAGGCAGGTGAATCTCTGCATTCACAGCCAACCTGGTCTACAAATCGAGTTCCAGGACAGCCAGAACTACACAGAGAAACCCTGTCTAAAAAAAGTTTTGCCTGTTTCTCTTCTTTCCTTCCTTCCTTCTTTCCTTCCTTCCTTCCTCCTTTTTTTTTTTTTTTTGTCCTTGCCTATCTGTATCTTGAAATATTTTCCCTTACATTAAAGTTTTTGATCCATTTAGAGTTGATTTTTATATAAGAGATAGTAATCTAGTTTCATCCTTTTATATTCAGGGATCCAGTTTGGTCAGCACTATCTGTTGAAGATACTGTTTTTTATCCAGGATAGGTTTTTGGCATCTTTATCAAAAAGCAACTGACTGTAGCAGTGTAGGTTTAATTATTTATGATGATGATGACAATGTATATATGTGATGTATGTGGATGACATGTCATGATTCGTTGTGAAGGTCAGAGGTTAACTTCATGGAGCCAGTTTTCTCCTCTCGCCTTTACGTGAGCTCTGTGGGTGGAATTCTTGTCTCCAGGTTTGGTTGGCATCTGATCAGTCCAGGCAGGCTAGTTCTGTCAGTTATTTTCCTTGAGAATGACATCTTAGAATGTAGCAGAATTCACTGCATTTATTTCCTACACCATCAAAGATACTGGAAAGTGAGTTAGGGGGGTTGATTTAATGAAGCTAAATTTTATTGCTTAAAGAGGTACACATTTGTAATCTCAGCACTTGGGAGGTTGAAGCAGGAAGATCAGAGTTCAAGTCCAGTTTCAGCTACATATGAAGTTTGAGGCCAGCTCTAGTGACATGAGACTATCTCAGATGAAGGAACACACAGAGAAAATACATTTTTAATTTGAAGCTGCCTTTTAATCTTCAACTAATTAGTGGAGGATGTGTTTGACTAATGTGTGCCATTATAATTCAGTTCTACAGCTTAACTCATGTCAAAATACCACCAGATTCACTGTGAAGCACATAAAGTATAGAAATATAAAGATAGTTTGACATAACATACCCCATGAAAAGTGTCCTAGTCATTTCAAGAAGTCCATGGAATATGTTTCAACAACTCCTCTTCTGTGTCAGGTATGACACTAGTCATTATTTCCAGCATTCAGGTGACTGGAGCTGCAGGATTG